CCTTCAAAACACGATAAATAGTTGATTTTGATTTTGGCTTGTCTTTGAACACGCTTAGAATTTCACTTGTACTGAGCCGTCCAAAAAGGTTGGCGACTTGTGCACATAAATCCAGCTTGTACGACATTTTAAATGGAAACTACTGTGCAAATTTGAGTTTGACAGTTCAGTAGTAGTATAGATAAGCGTGACAAGTGCATTGGTTGACATATGTGTGTTTGTTCATGCCGTCAAATGAACACCTGAAAGTATTCCCAGGACTTACATATGTTACTACTTTTAATTTCAATTTATTTTTTCAAAGCAATTCTGAGAAAATCAATCATGATTCTTTAGAGTAAATTTTTAAAAATAGTGTAACTTTGGGTGAACCTTTGGTATACAAAATTTGAAAATGATATTGAGAAATTTGCCTCTTCGTATTTCCATTAAAAATCTTTCAAATGTTCTAAAAAGAACGAAAATTTGACGTTTTTAGGGGGTGTCCTTAAACTTATGGTCGGAAGTGTACGGTTTTATAAATTTCTCCATTCAACTGAGCAAAAGTGCCTCACTCTCTGAGTTAGTCTCGTTGTCCTTGCATATGTAAATACAAAGATTTTTTTTTGTTCTAGACCCTTCGATATGACATTTTGAAATTAGCCTTAATGAAAGGGAGACTCTAAACATTCATTTGGTGGAAGTTATACAAGTGGAACGACTCACCCAAATTTATGTATCCACAAATCTGCATGAACATTTTCACCAAAGAAATCCAGAATATATTTGTCTTATCCCACTTAGGCTGATGTAAATTGTGTTTTTATTTTATGATATTTGATATGCGAGAATTTCCCACCAAATTCAGAGAAATTTCTGAACTACTGTTCATCAGCCAAAAGATCTTTATCTCCTTAAGAGCTTTGCCAAATACAGTAAATTTCTAGCTGTTCAGGATCTCGAGATATTATATATGCGAAGATTTCACGTATATCCGCGGCGTAGTGAGAAAATTCTGTACTGTTGACCAACGAAAAAGTTTTGATCTCCTGGACATCTTTGCCGATGACAGTTTAGCAGGTCTCGAAATATATCTAATGCGAGAATTTCTCGTGTATACAAGCGCAATGATGTGAGAAAAAATAATTTCTGTCCACCAGCCAAAAGGCCTTGGCTCCCTGAACAACTTTGCCCAAGACAGTAACTTTCTATCTGGTCATGATCTCGAGATATATCACATGCGATAATTCCACATATATTCTAGCGCTATGTAGTGAGAAAATTTTAAACTATTCTCCACCAGCAAAAAGTTTATGATCTCTAGAACAACTTTGCCCAAGACAGTAACTTTCTATCTGGTCAGGATCTCGAGATTTTCCATGTTGTAATCAATTAAGTCAAATCACACGTAGTACACGTTTACGCGGTTTCCATTCACATTTTCTCTATTATCCGCATTCTTTGGGGGTTAATTGTGATAAAAGTTTAGCTTGTTTAGTTAAAAACAAGTTTTTTTTTTTAAGGAATACGCGTTAGTTTCATATCGATTGGTAGCTCGGCTGCAAAATGGCAATGGAAAACTCACACTGTTGTACAAAGTACAACGCGCGAGTACTCGTGTTACAAAAGTTGGCGCGAGTAAAGCAGGGTTAAAGTGTTTCCGTAGATTTCCCTTGGAAAGGGCTCAAAAAGTTTCGATTGGCCGGGCCTCCGGACAATTCGGAAGATTTTCTCTTTAGGCACGTACTGCACTTTACTTTATACCAAGCTACCGTGTTTTCCGAGTAGTGCATTGACACCAAATCGGACCAAAATAGTTCTGGGCCATCATGTTGACGGATCATAGGTTGCAGACGTCGATTCAAACACTCCCGAACGTAAATGTCAGTGTTCATCGTCTCCTTCGTTACAAATGGCTTTTTTTTTTTCCTTTGGTTTGTTTTTTCCGTCGATCTTGTTTTCCGTGCTGAGCACCAATGCTACCGACGTGCCAGGAAGGCAGCTCCCACACCTGGACCCTACCTATCGACCCATCAACTCATGAACCGGGGACCAACGGCTTTACTTCCCATCCCAAGGAAGGCGTGATGAGAGATGTTATTACAAATGGCTTTGACAACTCACATATTGCTTGCCAAATCATGGCCTTCTATTTTTTTCGGTAAAAATTTACTTATCGGCATCGTCCACTTCCTGATCATCACGGACTGTGTAGTATTGGTCTCCCGGAAGCGTCTTGTAGAAAAATATGACGTATGTTTCATCGTCCATGATAACACAGGCCAATTTCCACACAGCAGGCTATCATATAGCTTCCGAGCCCTTGGTTTGACGGATGCGGCTTGTTTCTGACTTCGTTTCGGCTTCTTCTGCTTCTTGAACGTTTGAGTCCGTTTCTTGCCTTCCCAAGCAACATTGCAAGTTTTATCGTGGTTTTATAGCTTTCTACAAGTTTAAATCATGGTCTACAGAACCCGCATAAAACCCGAATTGTTACTTGGGTTGGCACATTGGACGTTACCCTTTAATGTTCTTAGTTTTTTAGCCAAATCTCGACCAGAGGCACTTTTTTTATTGGCGAAAGCTTGGTGATCTTCTGGTCCACTTTTCGGTCCACCGGTCCTGGTTTACGGCCAGATTTCGCTGTGTCCTCGAACGTAACTTCTTCATCGAACTTCCGGAGGGCGGTTTGGACTGCTCCGATACTTACTTCCTCACATTTTCGTCAACTTTCTTACTAATAGGTTGGGAATAGTGCATCATTTGTGCACGATCTGTTGGCACTGCACAGCTGATAAACTTCATCGGGATAGAAATGGCGGCGAGTTGAAAGTGTGCTTATACTTTCTGGGACACAATATAGAAGCTCTGCAAACATTGTAGAAGTTCAAGAAACTTCATAGAAGCTAGCTTCTACAATGTTTAGCATTCTCTAGAATTCACTGGAAGTTTTGAGAACTTTGTTTCGCTCAGATCTTTAGAAAAAAAAAATGTAGAAAAGGTTCAAGGTCATTCCTGAAGTTTGGAAGTCATGGGGGATTAAATATCTTGATTAAATGTTGATATAATTGAGAGACCTTGGAAAAAATAATGAACTTGAAAGTGATCGAAGAAAATTTTCAAGAAGTATTTGTTTTTTATTATTATAGTCACTTTAACACTCTTGGGTCGTTCGTGACTTGTCTGGGGTGAGATTTGAACTCGTGACTTTAGCCCGAGAGGTATGGATGTTAACCGGGGTCGCCCCCAATTTTTCAAGAAGTTGAGCTAAGCAAACTTTGTAGACATTCAAGGATCATTAGAGCAATTTTCCATTAGATTAAGCAATTAAAAATAAACTACAAGGGACAGCCTTATGGACATTTTTGACATTTACCACTTTTTCAATAGTTTCTTGTTAAAAATCAACAGTCGTAGAAATATTTCTGATCGATTGGTGATAAAATTATTGAAATTGATCCAGGAACAGCTGCGTTATTTACGCTCAAAATCTTTCATAATTTCGTTACATGTTCCATTTTTGGTTTTCACAAAGTGTACCTCCATATATAAATCACAGACGTAGTCCTACGTCCTAAAAACATTTTGCTCTTTTATATGTGGCGTCAAATGAAAAAAAAACTTGTGAAAACTTCACTGACTGTGACCTTTCTCTCACTTCTTCTCGCCTGCATCAGTTTCTATCAAATTATTCGCATTAGTTTTAGTTATCAACAAATTTAAAAGCAGTTAAAAAAAACATTTCGCGGAATATTCCAAAAACGTCGATTGATTCCCCGAAATTCCACCACCGCAACTAGCTTTCGCCTTCGTGTTGCATTTGTTCCGGAAATTTCGTTTCGTGCATTTTGCGGTATATATTTGATGGAAACCATTCCGTTACGTTTCGAAGTGGCCATAAAAAAATTCATATCGCATACCCTTAGCGCAGAGCCCCGGCCCTCGAGTCTCACGTTGAATGAATTTTTGATCATGCCTGGGCACACATATTGACAGTCTTTGGGTTTTCGAATGTCCCTTCGGAGAGGGTTGGATTTCACACTTGCGTTACGAGCTGTTTCCATTTCCATTTCAAAAAGGGACCGCGTCTTTTTTTTTGTTCGCATTCGGAATTGGAAATCAAGATGTTATTGGATGAAAAAGGATGTGACGGTTTCCTTTTGCGACTGACTGACTGACTGGCTGCCTGGCCGGAAATGGGAACGACAGTGGGTGTTTTCCGCCGAAATCCAATTCGGGGATTACGATCGATGAAGTGTTTATCGGAAAGGAAGACCGACAAAGGGGGAAAGCGACGGTGGTGGTTGGTTAGTGATTGAGAGTGAGTGCTCTTGGACGAGCTTTTTCGAAACGATGGGATAACATATCAAGCAGATTATCATTTTGAGCATTCATAGAACTTTTTCGCAGAAAATCACAATGGATCTTTCCAGTTAAGTCATGGAAGAAACCAAATCACGTAACCGAATCTGTTGGAATTGCATCAATAATCAAAGTTCAAGGAATTTCCCTTTCCTAAACTGCAGCTGACTGACGTCGAAGTCTTCTAATCTTTAACCACCGCTTATCGAATGACCCGTAGCAGAGTGCAATCACCAGTTGACCTTGCTCGAAATCATGCGCAGCCAAAAAGCAGAAAGTAAAAAATCCTGTATCTGTTACCATGCTTGTAATTAACATTAATTGAAAACCGAATCGAATCCCAAATCTAATCATACAAGAAGTTGATTGACAATGAAAATGCACTCCGCTGCTAGGGGTATGCGTTGTCCTTATCACCGATTGTTCTGATTGCGTGTAACTGATTGTGCACCTCCTTATCTGGCCCGGGTGCCGAAAATGTGAAGCAGATTACGCTCTCCCCGCTATATAAACGGTAGCCGTGGCGTCCAAACCGTATCTTTCAACCCGAGTCCCCAACTGGAGGTAGTACGCAACCAAACATCATCCAAAATGGTAACTGAACTTGTTTGTAAGATAAGGTTCGATTGACGCCTAATTGGTTTTTATTTCCACCGCAGAAACTGCTCGCACTCTTGGTCATCCTGGGAGTTGGCTTTGCCAGCGCCAATCTGCGCTCGGAGGTCGACCAGCTGCTGGTCTTCTACCCGATGGAGCAAGTCCGCGAAATCTACGACTGGTGGATCACCCACGATGCCGAAGTTGGAGAGATCTACGCCTTCATGCAGAGCAACGAAGCCGACGATGCCTGGAACGTGCTGATCGGACAACCGGAATTGCAGGAAATCTCCCGTTGGGCTGAGGAACGCGACGTCATGCTGGCCGAGTATCTGAACTTCATTGCCGGCCTTTTCGGCTGGACCCCGATCCCACGTGCCGTCCGCACCACGGCCGGTCGCTCCTGGTCTTCCATGATGGAGGAAATCCGTGCCGTCACCGATACCGATGGTGCCGTCGCTCTGGCCAACCAGTTCATTGCCACCCCCGGAAGCGAATTCGCTGAGCTGTACCGCATGACCCAGGATGCCCGCCCGGCTTTCACCCGCACCATTGAGGATCAGGCTGTGCTGCGGTGGTCCGCCCAGCTGCGTGCCTTCGGTGTTGACATCGATGGTACCATTGCCCGTCTGCGAAACTTTTTCCAGTGGAACTAAATTTTACTACTTCGATGGATCAATAAAATTTGAAGATGGCTAATTGAAAACATTTTAGTTGTGAATTGAACATCACTACAGTGCACAGTGGGCCAGAAATGCACAGTAGACGACAGACCCAATGTCTATTAATGCGCTGTTTACACTGATGCTAGCTCACTAGCTCAACCAGCTCAACCAACTAGCATGAATTTCAGTAGGTGCAGATGCTGACGCCCTGTTTACATTATGCTGACTGCTTTTTAGTACAGTTCTAGTACACTTGCGCAAGCAAACCAGCACAGATCTATATACCACATAAAAGAAGCATTTCCAAGGCTTGGTACCTGAGAACAAGTTTCTCCCTGTCGTGAAAATTATCTGGATGTAATGTCGGCCTAAATGCCCCTAATTTGGGCCCATACATAAATTCAGCAATAGACCAAATTTTTTCAAAAGCGTCCAAAAATATCTATAAGTACCGTCCCAATGACGCGTTCATCTAGATAATATTGATAAATAGCAGATTTTTAGCGATGGGCCCAATCTTAGATCCACAGGCCAACATTGGAGCAATTTCTCCCATTATATTTTTAAATATGTTATATTTTTGTCGTTTTTTGAAGGCAAGATTTCAAACTTTTGGACTAAGAACGGATCATTTACTTTCCAGGTCAAGTCGGGAGAAATTTCCAGGGAATTTTTGAATAAGCTTCTCAAGGAAGCCCAACAACACCTAGACCGAGAATGGAGAAGCTCTTCTGGAGGATGTTTGAAGAAAGTTCTGAGAAAAGTTGTAAAAACATCTGGGCAACTTCCAGGGAAAATCTCGCGCAACACGAGAAAAGGGCCCATCATTTCTGTTCGATTCTCTTCATCTATTTTCTCTTTTGCGAATAACCCGACTGCAAATGAATTTCCCATTCAGTGTGTTGATTCAGGTGCAAGCTAACATCATCGTCTGTCAAACTGTGCTGCGAGCTTAGCGAAAAATTAGTTTAAAGGGTGATACGGTCAAAATTTGGTCAATATCAACTTGACGTATTTCTTTCAATTTTGCATTTAAAAAACCTGAACACCCCTCATTTTGAAGGTGTGTGTGTGTGTAGAATGTTGCTCCTATTTTGATTTTGGAATTCACTCTTCAGTTGTCAAAATGCCGTCCAAGCAAGAAGAGCAGCGTATCAAAATTTTGCTCGCGCATCGCGAAAATCCGAGCTACTCGCACGCAAAGTTGGCAAAATCGCTAAAAGTTGCCAAATCAACCGTTACAAATGTAATTAAAGTGTTTGGGGAACGTTTGTCGACAGCCAGGAAGTCTGGATCGGGGGGAAATCGAAAACCGGAAGCCGCTGAGACGACAAAGAGAGTTGCCGGTAGTTTCAAGCGAAACCGTAACCTCTCTCTCCGAGATGCCGCAAATAAGCTGGGTGTATCGTCTACAACCGTGCATCGAGCCAAAAAACGAGCCGGACTATCGACTTACAAGAAGGTAGTGACTCCAAATCGCGATGATAAACAAAATACGACGGCCAAAGCGCGATCCCGGAGGCTGTACACGACGATGCTGACGAAGTTTGACTGCGTGGTAATGGACGACGAAACCTACGTCAAAGCCGACTACAAGCAACTTCCGGGACAGGAGTTTTATACAGCAAAAGGAAGGGGAAAGGTAGCAGATGTTTTCAAGCACATGAAACTGTCAAAGTTCGCAAAGAAATATCTGGTTTGGCAAGCCATCTGTACCTGTGGCTTGAAAAGCAGCATTTTCATAGCTTCCGGGACTGTCAACCACTCATTTACGTGAAAGAGTGTTTGAATAAACGTCTGCTGCCTTTCCTGAAGAAACACGGTTGTTCCGTACTGTTTTGGCCGGATTTGGCATCTTGCCATTACGGTAAAAAGGCCATGGAGTGGTACGCCGCCAACAACGTGCAGGTGGTTCCCAAGGACAAGAACCCTCCCAACACGCCAGAGCTCCGCCCAATTGAGAAATACTGGGCTATTGTCAAGCGGAACCTAAAGAAGACCAAAAAAACTGCTAAGGGCGAGCAGCAGTTCAAGGCAAACTGGTTTTCTGCGGCGAAGAAGGTGGACAAGGTGGCTGTACAAAATCTGATGGCAGGGGTCAAGCGTAAGGCCCGGCAATTCGGATTTGGAAAAAGGGAAGCCTAACTGAATATTTTTCCTGAATTGTATACTAATTGAACTTGAAAAAGAAATTTAATTTGATTTTTTAAATAAACGATTTCACCGATTTACACGCGTTTTCCCTTGACCAAATTTTGACCGTATCACCCTTTATGTTGCCGTGGTAAACCAAAGAGAAAGTCGATGAAGAGAATCGATCAACGAGGATAGGACCTTTTCAAATGATACGCGAGAAATATTGAGAAACTCCTGGCGACAGTTTACAGAAAATTTCGGAAACATTTCTGATGACACATCCAGAGGAAGCCTGAAAGTTTTCGAAACCGGAAGCAAATTCCAAGAGTAGAAGTTTTCAGGAAAAGTTAGAAGAAGCTCGGATAAACTTACAAATAGAAGTTGCCAAAAACTTACGGAGAATGGCTTTTGGAGAACATTGTCCAAAATACGAGTAAGCTTCTAAAAGAAGTCCGAGCGTCCAAAATCGGCCAAGCGTTTAAAAGACGGGCAAGCTTATAAAAAATAACCAAGCGTCCAAAATATGGACAGGCATCCAAAAGACTAACAAGCGTGTAAAAAATGGCCAAGTGTCCAAAAGACTACCAAGCGCCCAAAAGACGGGCAAGCGCCCAAAAAACAGCCAAGCGTCCAAAAGACGGTCAATCGTCCAAAAGGTGGCCAAGCGTTCAAAAGGCGGTCAAATGTCCAAAAGACGAGTAAGCTTCTAAAAGAAGGCCGTGCGTCCAAAACAGCCAAGCTTCCTAAAAGCAGCCAAGCGTTTAAAAGACGGGTTAACTTCTAAAAGATGGACAAGCATCCAGAAGACGGTCAATCGTCCAAAAAATTACCAACCGTTCAAAAGACGGTCAAATGTCCAAAAGGCGACCAAGCGTCCAAAGGACGGACAATCGTCCAAAAGACGGTCAATCGTCCAAGATATGACCAAGCGTCCAAAAGATGGCTAATCGTCCAAAAGACGAGTATGCTTCTAAAAGACGACCAAGCACCCAAAAAACGAATATGCGTCCAAAAAACGGTCAATCGTCCAAAAGATACCCAAGCGTTCAAAAGGCGGTTAAATGTTCAAAAGGCGGTTAAATGTCCAAAAGACGAGTAAGCTTTTAAAAGAAGGCCGAGCGTCCAAAACGGCCAAGCTTCCAAAAAGCGGCCAAGCGTTTAAAAGACGGGCAAGCTTCTAAAAGATGGTCAATTGTCCTAAAGATGGCAAAGCGTCAAATGTCCAAATGGCGACCAAGCGTCCAAAGGACGGACAATCGTCCAAAAGACGATCAATCGTCCAAGATATGACCAAGCGTCCAAAAGATGGCCAAGCGTCCAAAAGACGAGTAAACTTTTAAAAGACGGCCAAGCACCCAAAAAACGAATATGCGTCCAAAAGACGGTCAATCGTCCAAAAGATGGCCAAGCGTTCAAAAAGCGGTCAAATGTCCAAAAGAGGAGTAAGCTTCTAAAAGAAGGCTGAGCGTCCAAAACAGCCAAGCTTCCAAAAAGCAGCCAAGCGTTTAAAAGACGACCATCTTCTAAAAGATGGCCAAGCGTCCAAAAGACGGTCAATCGTCCAAAAAAATGGCCAAGCGTTCTAAAGACGGTCAAATGTCCAAAAGGCGACCAAGCGTAAAAAAAACGACCTAGTGTCTAAAGGATGGTCAAACGTTAAAAAGACGGATAAGCATCCAAAAGACGAGTAAGCTTCTGAAAGACGGCCAAGCGCCCAAAAAACGAATATGCGTCCAAAAGACGGTCAATCGTTCAAAAGATGGCCAAGCGTTCAAAAGACGGTCAAATGTCCAAAAGACGAGTTAGCTTCTAAAAGAAGGCCGAATGTCCAAAAACGGCCAAGCGTCCAAAAGGCGACCAAGCGTAAAAAAAACGACCTAGTGTCTAAAGGACGGCCAAGCGTTCAAAAGGCGGTCAACCGTCCAAAAGGCGGACAAGTGTCCAAAAGAGCGGCAAGTGTCCAAAGGACGGACAATCGTCCAAAAGACGGTCAATCGTCCAAGATTTGACCAAGCGTCCAAAAGATGGCCAAGCGTCCAAAAGACGAGTAAGCCTCTAAAAAACGGTCAAGCGCCAAAAAAACGACCAAGTGTTCAAAAGGTGGCCTAGCGTTCAAAAGACGGACAAGCTTCTAAAAGGTGGCCAAGCGTCCAAAAGACGGTAAATCGTCCAAAAAATGACCAAGCGTGCAAAAGACGGTCAAATGTCCAAAGGCGACCAAGCGTCCAAAGAAAAGACGGTCAATCGTCCAAGATATGACCAAGCGTCCAAAAGATGGCCAAGCGTCCAAAAGACGAGTAAGTTTCTAAAAGACGACCATGCGCTCAAAAAACGGCCAAGCGTTCAAAAGACGGTCAATCTTCCAAAAGGTGGCCAAGCGTTCAAAAGGCGGTCAAATGTCCAAAATATGAGTAAGCTTCTAAGAGAAGGCCGAGCGTCCAAAACGGCCAAGCTTCCAAAAAGCGACCAAGCGTTTAAAAGACGGGCAAGCTTCTTAAAGATGGCCAAGCGTCCAAAAGACGGTCAATCGTCCAAAATATGGCCAAGCGTTCAAAAGACGGTCAAATGTCCAAAAGACGCGTAAGCTTCTAAAAGAAGGCCGAGTGTCCAAAAACGGCCAAGCGTCCAAAAGGCGGCCAAGCGTTTAAAAGACGAGCAAGCTTCTAAAAGATGGCCAAGCGTCCAAAAGACGGTTAATCGTCCAAAAGATGGCCAACCGTTCAAAAGAAGGTCAAATATCCAAAAAGCGACCAAGCGTCAAAAAAACGACCTAGTGTCTAAAGGACGGCCAAGCGTTCAAAAGACGGTCAACCATCCAAAAGACGGACAAGTGTCCAAAAGAGCGGCAAGCGTCCAAAAGACGGTCAATCGTCCAAGATTTGACCAAGCGTCCAAAAG